ACGAAGCAAACATATGAGAGATGTTCAAGGATTTGCAATAATCATCTTCATGAAATGAATGTAAAAATTCTATTCATTCTTTCTATAAAAATCTTTGTACATAATTTGGTTATATCACATCTTGAAACTAAGACGAAATAAGTGATTTTTTTGTTAGAAAATAATGGCCCAATCCAAGAGGGGGGGGTGAATTGGATTCAATGACCCTTTAAAAATTTATCAGAGTTTTGGATCGTAAATTCAATCAAAACTTTTCTATGACAGAATTTTCAAATGAAGCACTCTTAAAGACTTGTTACAATGATATGAATGCAATGTGCAACTTGATTACAAGACAATGAGGTTCAAATATAATATCCAATTATAGATTTAAACCATCAAAATTCACATACACATGTTAATCAAGTTTTATCTTCTTTAAAGCACAACCAAGAAATTACAAAATAAGAGATAAGGTTGAAGAAGATTGCACAAGTCTTTTATACTGGTTCAGCCACTCCACATGTGACCTACATCCAGTCCTTAATCACCACCTGATTAAGATTTGATCCACTATCTTTTAGCAAGAAGGTTTACAAGCACACACACATGCATATACTTCACTACAAAAAGATAACCACTTTCTTGACCCCAAGAAAGTAACCCTTGTAGAACCCACTACAAGAAACTTCACCACTTGAGAAACCCTTCTCAAGATTTTTCACAAAGATTCACAAAGAATAAAATGAAACGAATTCACCTGGAATTCTTGAACAAATCTTTGTCTTCCTCTTTCAAGAGTATGATGATGATGATGATTTCCTCACAAGCTTTTCACAAACGTTTTTCTCTTGGATTTCACAAAGAAAACTCTCCAAGATGTCACACAGACTCTCTAAAACGTTTTTACCAGTTGATTATCAGTTTTTACTCAATGTTATGAAGTTTCAAAAGAGTTCAAACTATTTATAAAAATTCAAACCCAGATAATCGATTATTTTAAAGAATAATCGATTATTTTGTTCTTCAGATTTCTGGAAATCAATCAAGAACAATTTAATCGATTATTTAGCTGGATAATCGATTATTCCAGAGAGTTGTTCCTGAAATAATCGATTATTTTGGCAAATAATCGATTATTACAGCAAGGCATTCCACTTAGCCCACTTGCTGAAATAATCGATTATATTTAACAATAATCGATTATTTTGAGTCAGTTCTTAAAACTTCATTTTAAGTCTCAAAATAATTTTCCAATGTTTAACTCATCATCATCTACTCCCTACTTGATTCTAGACAAGATTTGCTCAATGCACAAAGCACACACAGACACAAATATGACAATTCATTTATAACAATTTTCTTCCTAAGCTCTATTACATAGCTATACTTCAAGGTATTTTTCTTGACTCTTCCTTGACTTTATTTTTGTGTTCAATGTTGTTGTTGTACACTTGTTGTCTCCAAGTTGTTGTGATCATCAAAACTCTTAAAGTCTTCAGCTCCCCTAAGCTCAACATTTTTGACCTTAAAGAGAAAAGTCAAAGAATACTTAGGTTCAACTAGAAGTGGCTTATGAGAGAATACTTATATCTTTTTGAAAGGAAGTGGAACTTGAGGTAATCTAAGTGGTTAAGATGAATTAGTATAAAAGTAATGTGTTTATCCTCATCTCTTTGTCTACACTTCTAAGGTCTCGTTACTACATTATTTCAAAAAAGTGTTAAAATTTTTATTATTATTTAACTCCCCTTCTTATATCTTTCTTTTCTCTACATAGTCATTTGTGATTAATACATCGAAGTTGATTTTTCTTTTTTGTCTCACTTATGTATCTTTTATTTATCTCACCTATTTCTTCTTATTTTTCTATTTCCCCTCTCCCACTCTCTATCCTCTCTCCCTCCCCTTTTTCCCCTTTCTCCTTTCTCTTTTTTATTTTTCTCTTTCCTTTTTTCCTCTCTCTCTTCTTTTGTCCCTATAATTTTTATCTCTTCTCTCCCCCTCTCTCTCTCTCTTATCTCACTCTTTGTCATCTTTCTTTTTTCTCTCTATCTATCTCTCTATTTCTTTTGTCTCTACTCTCTTTCTTTCTTACACACTATCTTTTTCTTCTCTTCTCTTTTGCTCTCTCTTTTTCTCCTTCCTTCCTCTCATATGTGTTTTAATGTTGACATTAAAAATATCAATAATTTTTTAATTTTTAAATATTGTCTAATATTAATTTTTTAAATTAATAATTACTTAAAATTGATTAATGTTTATTTTTATAAAATTTAATCTTAAAATTTCAATATATATATATATAATCAATTTTTGTAATGGTAAAAATTAAATCACCTTATCCATATTAAGAATTTAAAATTGAAAATTTTGAATTGATTTATCCAAACAAAATATTTAATAAATGATGAAAATTGAAGTCAAAGTAATTCAAATTTCAAGAATTTCAATTTTTTTAAAATACCTCATCCAAACACAACTTAAGAAGAAGAAAAAAAGAGAAATTTTTGTTATGTATTTGTTTTACTAGGAATATTTTTGTCAAAAATAAAAATAAAATTAGGATGTGACGATAGTGAACACAAATATTATTAAGAGTATTTATAGACCGGTTTGTTTTGAATTTTGGGTAAATTAAAGTCTGGACCAATTAATTTTGTTTGGTTTGGTATGCATTGAATTTACTAAAAGAAAAACTTATGATTCAAACCAAACCAATCAACAATTGGATTAATTGGTTTTCTCAGAGAAAAAAATGGTAGATATTTAAAGAATAAAAATAATACATTATATCCCAAACTTAAATAAAAAATTATTATTAAACAAGAGCAAAAAAGCATTCAACATCGTAAATAAAAAAGTAATGTAAGAAATATGAAATTAAAGTTGTCAAATAAATTCTAACATTTGAAAATAAATTATTCTAACATTTAAGGGTGTGTTTGGAAACTAATTGAGTAACTTGAATTGAATATAATTGGGATTGAAAAGAAATCTACACTAACAAGATTTTGCCTTTTTTTACATAGGAACATATATTTTTTCATTAAATATGATTTTAAACTAATATCCAAACGTACACTAAAACTAAGGTAACCCTTTAAATATAATTAAGTTATCTAAGTTACAATTATCATCTAAATAAACTTTATGCTTTTTAATAAATTATTATGTGCCTTCCTCTCATATGTGTTTTAATGTTGACATTAAAAATATCAATAATTTTTTAATTTTTAAATATTGTCTAATATTAATTTTTTAAATTAATAATTACTTAAAATTGATTAATGTTTATTTTTATAAAATTTAATCTTAAAATTTCAATATATATATATATAATCAATTTTTGTAATGGTAAAAATTAAATCACCTTATCCATATTAAGAATTTAAAATTGAAAATTTTGAATTGATTTATCCAAACAAAATATTTAATAAATGATGAAAATTGAAGTCAAAGTAATTCAAATTTCAAGAATTTCAATTTTTTTAAAATACCTCATCCAAACACAACTTAAGAAGAAGAAAAAAAGAGAAATTTTTGTTATGTATTTGTTTTACTAGGAATATTTTTGTCAAAAATAAAAATAAAATTAGGATGTGACGATAGTGAACACAAATATTATTAAGAGTATTTATAGACCGGTTTGTTTTGAATTTTGGGTAAATTAAAGTCTGGACCAATTAATTTTGTTTGGTTTGGTATGCATTGAATTTACTAAAAGAAAAACTTATGATTCAAACCAAACCAATCAACAATTGGATTAATTGGTTTTCTCAGAGAAAAAAATGGTAGATATTTAAAGAATAAAAATAATACATTATATCCCAAACTTAAATAAAAAATTATTATTAAACAAGAGCAAAAAAGCATTCAACATCGTAAATAAAAAAGTAATGTAAGAAATATGAAATTAAAGTTGTCAAATAAATTCTAACATTTGAAAATAAATTATTCTAACATTTAAGGGTGTGTTTGGAAACTAATTGAGTAACTTGAATTGAATATAATTGGGATTGAAAAGAAATCTACACTAACAAGATTTTGCCTTTTTTTACATAGGAACATATATTTTTTCATTAAATATGATTTTAAACTAATATCCAAACGTACACTAAAACTAAGGTAACCCTTTAAATATAATTAAGTTATCTAAGTTACAATTATCATCTAAATAAACTTTATGCTTTTTAATAAATTATTATGTGTTGCTAATAAAATTACAATACTATAAAATACTATAAAATACTATTATAATAATAATAATAATAATAATAATAATTTTAATTAATTTGACTCTCGGATCATCATATTTGTAAATGCAAATCTATAATTCAAATGAGTTAAAGTCAAATTTAATTGATTTGGATTAAATTTGATCGAATAAAAAAACTAAATTAATTAATTTAATTCACATTATACATTTTATCGAATTTTCTTAACCAACAAACACCTTTGTACATTATTCTCAGCTGTACATTGTTTTGGCTGTACAAAAATATTAGAAATTAGTCCAATATGCCCCGTTAAAAGCCATATGACCTTGTTGTCCTTTTCAAACTCGATTACGTTTAAAGTGATCAGTTTTGCTTAATGTTTATTAGCAATTCAGTTGGAATATTTAATTAAATATATGATTAATTTAAGTTATTTTGAAAAAAATATTAATTTTTTTAACTTTAAAGAAACTTTTTAAAAGATAAACAATTATTTTCCAAAATTAAGTTGAACTAAACATGTCATAAAACTTATATTCCTCAATCAATTGAGGTGAGCGTTCCTTGTTCAAGAATCGAAGAGATTAAAACCAAAAAACAAAAAACAAAAAAAGAGGCAGCCTTTAAGTTGTAAATAATTGATTTTAGATGCAAAACATAGAATTAAAAAAATTTAATCCATTTCCAAAGAATCCTATTTTACAAACTAGCTAAAATTAATTCTTATATTCTCACTTTCAAAATCATGTTTATTAAACCGTATTCTATGAAATTTAAACAGAACCTAAATAAAAATCGGTGGATATAGATAATTGAGCTAATAACATATAAACTATAAATAATATATTCTGATACAGGCATTTTACAAACCAGAAACCCATTACATCAAACCCCATCCAAAATATCGTCCACAATTTTATAAATGAAGGAAGCCTCATTCTCATCAGCAGTAGTGATATTTGCACTCGTGGCTCCAATCTCTATTGAGGCTTTGTAAGGGTCCTGAATGTGAATAATACACAAAGATTGTGATTTAGCATCACCACTCGTATCATGTTCGATAACTCCACTGATTCCCATCTTTGATAATGCAGCCATGAGTTTTTCTAAATCGGGTTAACCCCCATGTACCAAAGACCTATTTACTCAAGGAGTTTTTGTTATCATTATCCAATACCAAGTGATGCCTACCATTTTCCATCAATAGCTCTCCCTTCAATTTTTTTACATCGATTTCTTCCTTTTTGAATCTTTTCCAATAAAACTGGGAAGCCAAATCAGTTGCAATTTTTAACTCTGAACTGCCTTTTCGGTATGGTACTTTTAAAGTTTCAGCTTCGGTATAATATAAAACAGAGAAAGACTTTTCACTTGACAAGTTGATCTGCGGTCTCAACTCCTCAGGACACTATAGAATAAGAATAGAATAAAAGAGAAAAAAAAATAATCATTTTATCGCATGTATAATCTTATAATTCAATAATATAGTGCATAGACTACAAAGTAATCTTTGTGTAATTTACCAGAACTGTCTTTGGCTGCAATGTCTCTAGTAAAGGTTTAACTTTCTGCAACCTATAATGTGGAAATCAAAAAATAAAGAGAATGATAAATACATAAACCAAATTTTAGTCAGTAAAGATTACACTTTTTTTTATAAAGATATAATTAATATAAAAACAATTCATGTGTCTTCACCTAAAATAGGATACATGATTACTGATATGGTACAAGTCTATCAGAAGTCAGAACCTATCTACTCTAAATGAGATGTCAAATCCTACAAACTTCATGGTCCAAAATAAAATGCCTCATATCAGCTATGAATATGCCAAAATTTCAATGAGGATTTATTCAAACAATGAGGATGGCAAGAGTCAAACTCTGAATCACGTGGTCAGAGACTATGTTACCATGTCATAAACAAACAATCCCAAAAAGTGAAGCGGTTAAATGAAGACATGAATAATTTTATTATATGTTACATTTTAATGACAAAAGGATAAAGAAATTATCATTTTCGAAAGGTACTTTGAAATGTGGAGCCAAGAAAAGAGACAAACGATGTACTCCACTCCCTAACTCAAAAAAGTTAATATATGGTACTAAGGAGCCCATCCATATGTTTATCAAGGTTGTATTTTACATTCTTGATAGGTTTTTCTCACCCCTATGTTTCTTGGTTAACACTATAGAGTATACATAGACTGTCACCGGCTAGATGTTTAGAGATTTTGAAAATTACCAGTGAGAACAATTTATGACATACATGAATGTACATAATATATTGGAAGAAGTAACTAAAGGGAAAGGTAAACCTACCCTATTCCAGAGGGAAACAGACATTGACAAACCTTCATTGCAACTGGATTGAAAGGTAAAAGTGCTAGCTCAAGATTCAAAACACCCTGCAGAGAGTAAATTCAATGTAACATTGGCCATGGACATTTAAACTTCATTAGAAGGACAAAACATAAAATACTGCACATATCAAGATACTTCAACCCCCAAACACAAAGGAATAAAATGGCTACAATGAAGCATCATAATTACTATTTATATTATGTGAGGAAATATATCATACCTCAATAATAAGTAAAGATTTTGGATCACCACACCATCGACGAAGCAAATGAACAATAGGACCCATACGCAAACTCCAGAGAGGACAGAATACAATGCAAGGTTCCTGCCAATTAACTCTACAAGCAATACATTAGTTTCTGTAATAAAATTACAATAAAAAACCATTTCTGACTTATGCCATTCCTTAAAATCAAACTCCTCTGATATCTGGAGGTTATTAAGAGAAACTCAACTCAAACAGTTATGAAACTCAAATTCCCCCCAAATAGTTTTTTACATTGCAATGTGAAATAACACTTGATTTCAAATCTAAAATGTGCAATTAAAAGAACACTAAATTTGATTAACAAATTCCATTATGAATGGTTCATTTTAAGGAAAGAGAAGGGAAGAACATGGTAAGAAAACTCACAAGAGTTCATGTGAATGAGTAGCAGGAACCACATGAATCTTTCTCTCTTTTAGGAGCTTGACGTGTGCAAACAATGGTTCCCCAGCAAATAACTGCAGCACCAATTAAAGTAGGTAAAGCAAAAGTCAAACTTTATAAATAAAATTATCCAAGTGCAATGGACAAAAATAATAATTCTAAGCCCGTACCCTTTCTTGACGTTGTTTGCAAAGCCACTCAGGTATGATGTTAAGCAATGCCAGTAACTCTTTAGCCACAGAAGAAATTATATAAATTGGAACCTACAAATAGAAAAATTGCAATTACTAAATATTAGAACTTAGAAGTCAGTGAGTAATATCCAAATGTCCTTTTTCCAAATAGTCATGTTTATTCGACTAGAAAATTAAATGATTTCAAGTTCATAAAAGATGGAACTTTGACATTCCCTGTCTTTCCCAAATCCCATTACAAGCACTAAAACAAAAAATAAAAGGATTTGGTCTGGTCTGTCTCTTGACAAACAAAATTAAAAAATCAGAAGAAAAGAAAACAGAACTTAAAGCTAATGCCACGTATTGTAAAGAGAGGCAGTTTACAAGCAACTAAAAAGGATGAGTATGGGGTACTGCAGGACAAGGCTAATTAATGACACCCAAAAAATTATTCCAAATTTCCATAATAGTTTTTTTTGACTTTGATAACTGATTAAAAAAAATCAAAGTAAAAAAAAAAAAAAAAAAAAAAGAGGATGCCTTCATATCTGAAGCTTCAAGTAATGTTGTCATTTTCTCCAAAAGAAGCAAAACAGTTCCAAGTCGGTCTATAGGAATAAGAACTGAACCACCTTCATTGATACAGTCTATTGCACATGAGCATATGAAAACCAGCTTTTTCTTTTCTTCTGAATTTTCGTCAAAGTTATGGTTGAATCCAGCCAAATCTTGAGAACTTCAGTAATAACCAACATGGAAATCAATATAAACACATAAATATTCATTACTACAACCAGTGGATGAAAACTTGAATAACAATAACTTTAAGTGTCTGGTGGATACAACATAAAGTTTGAAAGGGGATAAAATTTCATACCTCATAGGTAATAACTTATCAGCAGTTAGAACAGAGTTACTATCCCCATCCTCGCCATCTTGAGTATCAGTAAAGGATAAGAAGTCTGAATAAATTAATGCACAAGTCCCCTGTAAACTGCGGTAATCAAAAGGCATTGCATGTGCAGAAATGATGTTGGATCCCGAAAGATAAGCAATATCTCCCTTCGGACTATTTAGAATCCAATTACAACTTCCTATTTCCGTACCGGAGCTGAATGCTTTTATAACCAATGTACCATTGTAGCAAGCTTCCTCAGCATAATTAAGCTTGTGAATCTTTAGCATGCAATCCTTCACATCAGCTGCACTGAGAAATTCCAAAAATTAAAACCTCAACGAAAATGGATACAGCAGCAAGATTTTTATCAGTGTAAAAAGCAACAGCTTAACTACACTAACAAAGACTATATAATACATTACATATAGAATTTCCAAATGATCATATATATAAAAATTACACAAGGCAAATCACTGATAGAATCCTAGAATCCAGATGAGTGTTAAATACATCCATCCCATACCCTGAATGGGGTGTCATGAGATTTTCACTGACCCTTATGATCTGTCTGGATGAGACAAAAAAGAAAATAGGAGAGAAAACACAGAATGATGTATTTTTGTTTTATTTGGTTGAAGAGAAAATAGAAAGAAAAAAGAGAGGAAAATTGAATTTAGAAACAAAGGTTCAAATTTTTCTCTCCTTCCATTTTGTCTTCATTCAAATTTCAAAATTTTCTCCCCTCATTTTTTCTAGTCTGAGTTAAAGATAAAGCTCAAGCAAAGAAGCAATAAGCAAGTCAAAATCACTTATTAATGAAAAAATATAATTAATCAATCCTAAGAAAACAACACAGAACCAGTGCATGAAATAATCAAGCTACTTCATGCAGTTTTGGATATTGAATATATACCTCCATGTAAGTTTTTTGAGATAAAATGCAAACTAATTAATGGTAGATCACCTGTACAATGGCATCCAACCACCCAACTCCACTCCATCTTCTCCCAATATTATCTCGCTCAATTCAGAAGGAAGGATTTCAAGCTCTTCCTGCCTCAGCCATGCAGGGAAATTTGATTCCTCTGGTCCATAAAACTGACTGAATTCCACATGCATTGATACAAGATCCTCCATCATTAGCTGGCCTAATCTTGCTGATGCTTCCGTTATATATATCAAACAATTGAACAAAACATTAAGCTAACAAATTAGGTGACAGAAATTAACAAAAATAAGAACATAGTCCAGTAATAATAACAATAACTTGCAACATCAGAAGAGTACCTTAGCTGAGAAACCCTTCATTCGAGTAAGAAAAGGCAATCCCAGAATACCCATTGGACTGGAGATTAATACGATATCAATGAAAGAAGAATTCCACAAGTGCAAGTTATTAACAGTCTTGTACCAAGGTTCAGCAAAAAGTAAGCTTTTAGCATCAAGGAGCTTTTCAATTTTATGTCTTTTCCCAGACCCAACTCTTGAATCAAAAAAACCACTGGCCACAGTGTTGCTGCTTTCTTCGGATGGCAAGAAATCAAAAGCAGTAGGGACAGGAGAAAACACCATGAGAGAAGAAAGGTCTAGTGGGCAATCTAATAAGATTCTAATGCCACAAAAATTCAGCATGTGACATGGTGGGAAGTGAAAGCCCCCACCTTTGCTCAAACATGTCTGCAAAACCCAGGAAGAACACAAAAATTTAAACCATGAAGAGAGCTTTCTCTGAAGTGTATAATTAGAAGGTTCATTGACAAGACCCTACACACATAAGGCACACGAGACAAAGAGATATCGTAACCATAAGAAACTCACAAACGTCATAGAGGATGAAATGGATAGCCTTTTGTAGATTCCCGTAGAAGGTAGGAGTGGCTATGAAAGATGAAAGAGAGACAAAGAGGAGCACAAGAACTTTTAGCTGAAAGGAGCACTTTATCTCCAAACAACCTACAAATATACCCCATAAATTATTAATATGTCAATTAATAAAAATAAAAAAAATAATAAATAAATAAAAACTCACTTCAATCAATGAAATTTCAATGCAAATAATTTCATTATCTCTTAAATAGATGAAGCAAACATATCTCCAAACAACCTACAAATGTATCCCATAAATTATTAATATGTCAATTAATAAAAATAAAAAAAATAATAAATAAATAAAAACTCACTTCAATCAATGAAATTTCAATGCAAATAATTTCATTATCTCTTAAATAGATGAAGCAAACAGACCTATATTGAAAGCATAGTTGTCAATAGCGGTAGGAGCGGCCGCTATCGCGGCGCTCTGGAGCGGAGCGGCCCGACGCCGCAATTGTTGGTCTGTCGCGTCTCGGATTTGTGTTGCGGCTGGAGCGGCCGCGTCGGTCGTGGAGCGGAGTGGCCAAAAACGGCGGAATCGCGGAGCGTCTTGGACTTACCCTTCATTAAGGGTAAGTCTGTCATTTCAGGGTTTTTTTTTCCCTAATTCTTCCTCTCCCCCTCGCGGAACCAGTCCTGTTGTTTAGGGTTTTTCGCGCTCCTTCTTCTCTCTCTCTCTCTCGATTGATTCTTTCTCTCTTGGGGACGCGACGAACTCCGGTCGTCTTCTTCGGGCGTCTCTGTCTGACGCACTCCAGTTCTGATGCACTCCGTCAGTTCCGACGCTCCTGCTCCTGCGGTCCGACGCTCCTCCGGTCCTGTCTTGTTCTTTCGTCTTCTCATTTTCTATTTTGTAATTTAGCAGATTTTTATTTTTAATTTTTGATTAAATTTAATTCAACAGATTTTTTTTTAAATTTTTGATTAAATTTAATTCAGCAATTTTGTTTTTTTAATTTTTGATTAAATTTAATTCAGCAGATTTTTTTAAAATTTTTGATTAAATTTAATTCAGAAGATTTTTTTTTTTAATTTAGGATTAAATTTAATTCAGCAGATTTTTTTTAAAATTCTGATTAAATTTAATTCAGCAAATTTTTTTATTTAATTTCTAATTAAATTTAATTCAGCAAATTTTTTTAATTTATGATTAAATTTAATTCAGCAGATTTTTTTTTTTAATTTCTGATTAAATTTAATTCAACAGATTTTTTAAAATTCTGATTAAATTTAATTCAGCATATTTTTTTTAATGCATGAATTTAGAGTTATTTTTTGTTCTTTTAGCTTTTATATATATATTATTAATTATTAATTATTTAATATATAAAAATTGATATTAAAATAGTGGTTATCCCGCTCCGCGTTATCCCGCTATCCCATTTTTAGGATTGACCGCTTCGCTCCGCTATTCAGGATTGACTACTATGGAAAGTACTACAACATTTACAATCATAGAATCAATCACAATTATTGATACTTGCATAGAATTCGCAGACATAGGTAGCATATTGTAGTAAATGATTCATCAACCTCATTGACATTCCACAAGTCAAAGAGGCATGCAACCAAAAACATTCACAAGAGACATGTTATTGGAAAAAACTCAAGTCTCATATCGACTAGAGATTAAGCAATTAAATAGTACATAAGTGGAAAGCAACCCTCACCTTACAAGCCAGTTTTGTAGGATTGAGTTAGGCTTAAATCTACTATTCTAAGATGGTATCAGAGCTGTCCTACATTCTTAAAAATGGGTCACCCACCATTGATACATGCACCATGGGCATGAGGGGGTGTATTCAAGTCCTGTCAATCCTAGATCATTAAAAAAAGGGTCACTTACCATTTATCCACGTACCAAGCCCAATAATGCTAGACGTGAGGGGGGTGTACTGGAAAAAACTCCAGTCCTACATCGACTAGAGAATAGAAATTAGGTAATTAAATAGTATATAAGTGGAAAGCAACCCTCACCTCACAAGCCGGTTTTGTAGGGTTAAATTAGGCTTAACCCTCACAAGGGCAACAACCAATACATTTTAAGTATTCTTAACCATTATATTCAAGCAAAACAGTGAAAAAAGGGCATGCCAAACCAATGAGTTACACATACATCTCATTCATTCTTTTATCTTAAGCATGACATAACTCTTACATTTTAGGCAAGGCTTATACACATGAATTTCTTGCTGGAACAAGGAATACATCATACATTCACCTATGCATCTTGAGTTTCCATCTCGCACGTATGCAAGTATCATTAAAACTATTCAGCCCCTTTTTAATCTACATAACTAGGCTTAGTGAGAGATCATTAAAAATACAATCGAAGACAAATTTAGGTGAGATCACTTTCATTTGAATAACCAAATAATGTATCTACGAGGCGTATGTATGGGAATGATTTCATATCCATACTTGTTCTAGTCTTAACCCTAACTTTTCCCATACTAATGCAATTGTAGCCATAGATTGGTTCTTACTCTAGGACATAACTAAATGCCTGTAAACCGTATTGGAACATAAGGGGTACTTATAGGTCATGTATAATGTATTATGTATTACATTCCAAAACTTTTGGCCTTGAGTGATAGCTTGGTGGAGGAAGATGAGAGGGAGACTGTGAGGAAGGAAGCACAAGAGGGAGTGGTGGGCTGGTGGAGTGAGGCCAAGGGGTGGAGGTGGTGGCAGGTTAGTGTTGTTGGCAAGAGTGAGGGTTTTTGGTGCCTTAGGTTATAATTTAACTCAGAGAAGGCTCAGGGGAGCTTAGGAAAGCATCGGGTTTTCCATCAGTTTAATTAGCGATAAAAAATCACCAACTATAATAACTTATTTAGCTATATTCATCATTACCAAACTCTTTTATAAAAACTTAATTATAAATAACTTTAATTAAATACTTATTTGAGGAAAGTTATTTTAATAAAAGCCATTTTTATTCTTAAATAAAGCATATAAATATATATATATATATATATATATATAATATAGGGGGTTATAATTATACCAGTGTAACTTTTACTAAGTATTACACCGCTCAATAACAATTGACATCAACGTAACTGTTATGAATTATTACATCACTCATAACTTTCAATTAAATAATTATTTTTTAAAGAGTTAATCACCTATACACTGGCAGTGTAAAGTTTTTTACACTGTCATCAGAGTCGTTAATGGAGCCTTTTTTATTTTAATTTAATTAAATGAGTAGATGAAAAGGCACTATTAACGACTCTGATTGACTGTCAATGAAAAAATTTTACACTAACAGTGTATAGGTGATTGACTCTTTTTTAAAATTTATCATTAGATTGAAAGTTCTCTACTCCTAAATCATATATGCAAAATTTTATATTAAACTATGATGATTTGATACTTCATTCATATAGATCAAAATTGATGTAATATATACATTTTAAAATATATAAAAAATATGAATAATTTGATTACCCTTGAATTATTGTTTAATTTTAATAAAATTTGACAAAAACATACAAGATGATATGAAGTTATAATTAAAAGGTTGGTAAAAGTTATAAAACGATATAATAATTGATAAAATTTATTTAGCTATATACATCATTTCGAAACTCTTACAAAAACATTATTTTAAATAACTTAATTAAATACTTATTTGAGGAAAGTTATTTTAATAAAAACCATTTTTATTCTTAAATAAAACTTATATATATATAAAGAGGGAGAGAATGAATAATTAAATTAGGTGGTAGTAATTATTAGATTAAAATAAAAAAATTTTAATATTTTAAAACATTATATAATTATTTTAGAATTTTGAAAATTCAGTTAAATAAATAAAGAAAATAATTGAAAACAGAGCTATAAGCTAATACGTATATAAATATATTCTTTTTCAAAACAGCATGGTTATATAGGTATATTATTCTCTTAGCTAGAGTCAAAACTTAAGATGTTACGATAATAATAATAAATTTAAATAGTTCTAAGCTTTTAAATAATATATAAATTTAGTAAAATTATAAATTTAATGCAGAGGGTAGATAGAGATAGTTTACATATCATAATTAAAAAAATTCAAAATACAAAGACTAGGCTAAGTTAAAGGAAACTTCTAGATCCAGCCTTAAGATTTATAGTCCCAGGTGAAATATGGAATTTCATGACCTAAATAAATTTCTCAACTGTTTGTTATCTAAAGACCAACTCACATCTCTTTCATTTTGGCAGATAATTCAGTTATCACTTTCTTCACAGCTGTTACAGCCCAATATATATTTTCATAATGACCATACTTGTATTAATGGATGAAGAATTTTTCTTCCCTTTTAATGTTCAAGTATATATTATTACCAGACGCATTTAGATATTGAAATTTTACTGATAAGATGTAAAAAAATTGCACGGGTCTAAAATTGCGGGTGATAATGTAATATTGTCTTTTATAAAATTAAAAATAATTATAGCACCTGTTATCATGTATGTTTATAATTCCATGCAAATTACTCAAATCATTATATTAATCTAGTCATATTGACTTACATCTCTAATTATTTTTAGTAGTGCCTCTTTTTTATTTATCAAAATTACAATAACGTGATCAGGATTCAAACATTCAGTCATATGCATACTAGCTCAACTCCCTGTCATTAAGCCAACCATAGTGGTTCAATATCCTTTTAATTGCTTTAGGTTTTTTTACTAAGGTACTACTATTAAAATCACTTTAGAAAAATCATAATGACCTTAATATAACTATAATAGAAAATCATATTAAAAAACATTAAAATGAAATTAGGTAACTAGCTCAACGCTGTTAATTTTGATTTTTAAGTATCTTGTTTTATGATTTCTAATATGTATCTTAATAAGAGGTAATTCTACTTAAAATATAGTGAGACATCATATGGTGTACCTTTTTCAATTTAAATTCAAACCATAATTGCTCACTTTGTGGGAAATAGCCTCTTTGCTAAAAGTAATCCCATTGATATTTCTCATGTATATTCTAAGTTATCTAAGACAACATAGAATGTAATTTAACTGTACTAAAACTATATCACACTCGAGTGCTAACTATGATTTATCTATGCTATGTGCACACTAATACAGTAAAAAAAAACACAAAAAAGAGAAGATAAAATGTGTAGTGAAGAAACACTTTAGTTTGCAGCAGGAAGAAAAAAGGCTAAATTTGTCATCTCTAGCGTGTAGGTTCTTCTGTTAAGCATCTCTATTTTTCAGTGACAGAAAGGTAACTGAGATGTAATGTAAAAAATAATGAGTTGAGGTTCTTGTGTGTTTCATAACAGCATCACAATCATCTATATTAACCCCACAAAATAAAAATAATCAGCCATAATGATAGAGAATTAGAGATTCAATTTACTGTCCCAGTAATAATAATTACCAAAAAAAACTAGCTCAACAGTTGACAGATATTAAATTGAAATCACGCTAATTGTTAGCAGATATTTCAGCAGAAGATCATTTAGCGTGAAGGCGAAGACGCTATTAATCTTTCTAGGGTTTGTTTTAGGAAATTTTCATAATCAATTACTTTTCAGGGGGTGAGAATTGAAAAAGAAAAAAAGAAGCGATGGAAATTCACCTCGGGAATGATGCTCCGGCGCTGCGGCGGAGGCGGCGGTGAGTTTTGGATTCGTGATGTTTGAGTTTGTGTATTTGTGTTGTTGTTTTGTTGAGAGATATGTTGTGTGTGTTGTGTTGTGTTTCAGCTGAGGGTTGAAACAAGAGATTGGGTTTCTGTTAGTTGCGGCGTTGGCTTTTAGAGACGAAGGGAAAGGGGAGGAGATAAGGGGAAGACTGGGGTATCCACATTCACAACAGAAATTATTTATATTTTATAGAGAGAGAAACTTCAAACTAAATAATTGAAAAATATAAGAGCCAAGCCAAAGAGACAGAAAGTCTTTGGATTCTTATACAAGATATAAATGTCATAGTAAATTTATCCAGTTATTTTTAATTAAACTTTGTTACATTCTCACTACATTATTAATTAAACTTTTTTGACTAATGATTATTAATTTATTTAAAAATATTGTTTCAGATATGCTTTAAAATTCATGATAGAAGCTGTAAAAAAAAGTCAATAATATAATTTACAATTTATGGTATGAATTAAATTGTACAATAAAAAATATTTTTACTAGAAATATATTTTAATTATATTTAAATTTTTTAAATGGTGTAAAAAGAGCGGGTTTTGACTTTAAATTTTATTTTTTATTTTTTATTTTGTTTAAAATTTATAAATATTAATTGTGATCCTTATAAAATATTTTTTGTCTTTATTAATTGAGTAAATTTTGATCTTTGAAAATATTTTTGTCTTTATAAAATAAGTATAAATAAGTAAATTTGTAAACATTATTTTAAACACCTATAAAAAATTCAGAAATATTATATATTAACATGAATACATGATATCATTAACAATGAATAATACCGTAAATGGTTATTTAATATTTTAATAAATAAATAAGTATTAATTATATGTGTTTGTTTATCTTCAATTATTACTATATGATTTTTGACTCTTAAATTTTAATCGAGTAATTTTAATTTTTTAATTATTATAATTATATAATTTTAGTTCATTTCATTTAAGATTTAATAATTTTAAAATTATTATATATATTCTTAAAATTTTAATTGAGTAATTTAAATTTTTTTAATTGTTATAATTATATAATTTTAGTTCATTTTATTTAAGATAAAATTATATGATTGTTAATTTATTTAAGATACATATATTATAATTTTCATTCATGGATCAAATAAAATATAGTACTACTAATTAATAATTCATAAATATAAATTAATATATTAATATACTTTTATAAAAATATAAATATATTCCATAAGATAAATGTATTAATGGAAAATTAATTAAAATTATCAATACATAATATTATCTGTTAGTTTCATATGAACAAAAATAATTATATTTTTAATGAGAAGGAAAAATAATAAAGACTAGAAATAATAATTATAAATTTTATGAAAATAAAAAAATTATAGAAAATAAATTTTTTATTTTATTTTTATAGAGATTAAAATATTTTAAAAACTTTAACTATTATTTAATTGATTTCAGTTGAGAGAAAAAAGCCGCAATTATTTAAAAAAGAAAAACTAAATAACTGAAAGTGGCCTTTGTGCAGCTACCTTTTGGATCGGATATTAAAAAAAAAATTAAAAAAAAAATCTTGTTTTGAAGAGAGAAAGAAGTACTGTGAGCGCTGTTTGTTTGTTTGTGTTTCTATTTTCTTTTCGTTCTGTCTTTTAACATCAGAAATTATGAGACGATGAAAGAAATGAATAAATCACTATTAAATATTATTATTATTATTTCATAAAAATATTATATATTAGTAATTAATATATACTACTAATATTAAGTTAATAATATGGGAGAAATACTGCGAGCGCTGTTGTTTTATTTTTTTTCTTCTAGATGCAGAAAATGTGGTAATGAGTGAGTATACGCCGTTGTTCTGTCCTTTAAATCAGAAATAATGAAACGAGGAAATTAATAATATTAATATTAAAATTTTTAATTTTATCTATACTAAAAATAAAAGAGATACTATTTTTTGTCTATATTTTTTTTACTAATATTACTCTTTAATTAACTATCATAAAAAACTATAGATAAAAAGAAAAACTAATCATCATTTAATAAAAAAATTAAAAAATAAAACAACAACAACTGTTTTTCTTGAAGGTAGAGTACCTTCCTTCTTTTCTTACTGGTATATGTTCCTATTTCTTCTACTATTTTTTAACATCATTTTCTCAATCTTCTACAAATACACTATGATTCAAAGTTATTCAGAAATTTTTTTTTTTTTATGATATCTAATCCGTAATTTGGTTCCTTCAACTTTTAATTTATTAATTTTTGTTTTTAATTTTAAAAATTTGTAATTATGGTGTTTTACTAGAATTTCTTCTATCAATCATTAAAATTGTAGTATTAATCATGACCTGATATTAGATAAATGATATGAAAATTAATTTTATTTATTTTCGTTTCATTTAATCACTTTTAGCATATAATAATAAAATTAAAAATAGAATTAGCATAAATTTTTAAATATTATTTTTGTATAATTTATTTAATATTTGATCAAGATCAATGTATCAATTTTAACGATCAATTGATGAAAAATTAATCAAGGAACTAAAACTATGAATTTTGTAAAATTGAGAAATTAAAATTGTAGAATTAAAATTTTGATAGAAAAATAAAATAGATGATATGAAAATTAATTTTTTTTAAAACATTAAGGTTAAGTTTAACTTTTAATTTCTATTTTTATTCTATTTATCTCATTTTATCACTTTTAACTTTTAAAAATGAAAGTAAAATTTAGCATAAATATTTTTAAAATATTATTTATCATATAATTTATTTAATGTCAAATCCTGATCAATATTTTAACTTTAATGATCAATAGATGAAAATTTAATAAAGTCACAAAATTATAAATTTTATAAAATTTAAAAACTAAAATTATAGACTTTAAAATTTGAAAAAAAAATTAAAAATTACATATTATAGAAGAAAAAAAACTACAATTTACTCAATATTTTTACTCTCATTAGTGCTCAAGTAGGGAAGTTCATATAGAGTGTATGGATAATTTAAATGGAGTAATTCATTTTTTTTTTTAAGAAATTTAAATGCTTTGATGGTGTGTTTGGATGAAAAATTTAAGAAATTTAAAAAATTTAAGTTACTTTGGTTTTAATTTCCATCATTTTTTTAAATATTTTGTTTGGATAAATCAATTCAAATTTCTTAAATTTTAAATTTTTAGTTTATATATGATAATTTGATTTTTATCATGAGTGAAATTGATTTTAAATATATATATATATAATATATATATATATATATAATAAGATTATAAGATTTAATTTTATAAAAATAAATATTAGCTAATTTTAAATATT